GAAATTTTTCAACATATTGATCACTATTTAACCGAGAAGTCACATCAGTTTTCGTGAGTCCATGACTGGTAACATCATAGCCTAAATCTCAAGGGTTTGATCCGTGAGATACCTAAATACTCAGTAGTTCGCTTTTCCCTACTGATATCGAAGGTAGAGTGTATGAATTCTTAGATATTTTACTACCGATGCTTTTTTTGTGTAGTGTAACTACCAAGCGAGAAATGTAGAAGTTAAGCGTAAAGTCTTAGGTCAGTTGATAAGGTTATAAACCCTCATCGATTGAGATGACAAGGGTGTTAACTCACCGTCTACTTCTGCATCCTGAAGTATGGTTAGGTTGAAGAATTGGTAAATATAATAACCAGAGCATGATGTCTGACTATTGATTGTTAGAAAGTTTTTCTGGCTTAGGGTCTACAAGAATCATAGTGACTAAAAATTGTTTTTGGCGGCCAGATACACCAAGGCTTTGTTTTCAGCTTTAACCTTGGAAAGCTTATTACCGTTTGTTTTCTTTGTTTTCATCTGTTATATCAGGAGTTTGATAAAATATGACACATTTCCACCCGGTGTACATCTAAACGATGTCCTTTGTTGTTGTCACATTCGTTGATATGGCTGTTTATTGATGAGAAAATGACCCAGTAGTGTACAAAGATTGTATTTTTGCTTAAATATGAGAGTTTGGTACACAGTACTAATATTTCAACTATCTCTTTTACTTGTCTTATAATTTGAGAACTTCTGATGTCTGTAAGTGGAATTCTCATATACCGCTTCTTATCGTTTTTGTTTTCCCCGCCTTTCCTCCTTGATGACAGAGTATTTCATTGTCATGAATCTGAAAATGGAGTCTGGACACCTTGATTGGCAATTTGAAAATGTTTGAAGTGTGTTTCTCGCCACCTAAATGCTAATTGTTGCTCCAGGACTGGTCTTCAACGATGCTCTGGCTAACGGGTAGAGTGAAATGGTTGGGCGCGTTGAACACTTCTCTTATCTGGGAAGTCGGATCAGCCGTGATGCATTGGTCAGTGGTCGACGAAATATCTACACGAATAGAAAAAGCTCGGTTGACTTTTACCGACTTACGTCATTTATGGCGCCACCGCGATATCTGATCTTCGATTAGGTGTCGAGTGTGTTGTGCTGCAGTTCATTCTGTTCTACATATGGCTGTGAAACATGGCTGTTGAAGGTGGAAGCCACGAGAAGGCCTCAGGTGTTTGACCACTGTTGCCTTCTTAGTATAGACCGTATTCCGTGGTGCCACCGCGTGAGTAACGCAAAAGTCAGGCGTAGAGTTTTAGGGAGAAGAGGTAAATCAGTTGACACAGTTATGAACCTTCATCAACTGAAATGGCTGGGACACATGTCATGTATACCTTGTCACACAATGTTTGCCGAAGTATGTTTAGGCTGGAGGAAGCCTCGGGGTGACCAGACTAAAACATGGCACCAATGTATAAAGTCTCCGACTATTGGTTTGAGCCGTGTATGGCGACCCAGGCTAGCTGGTTGGGGTCTGTGGGACAAGAGACACCAGTGGTTGGAGGCTCTAGGAGATTACATGGCTCAGAACTGATGTCAATGGCGCAAGTGTATAAGCACACTGTCTTCATCTTAATTGTTATACTTAGTCTCATCAACTTCTCATTCTTCCTTTCTATCTCTTTCTACTTCCTTTGGCCGATTTTTCTCTCCTTCTTCATCTTCCATTTTACTGGCTTGTTACTTGGTGCTATGATATGAAGTTTAGCGATTTGGACCATTGTGCAGTAATACCTGTTCTTATGTTGATGATTACGAAATTTGTGGTGTATCAGTTTGTTCAAGTTAGGTGACCAGAGTTAGTTTTTGTGGACAAATGGATTTGTTCGAACCAAAAAATTTTCAACCTCCCTCCCCGCTAATGGGCTAGAATTCTAACGTCTAATGTTTTTACTTTACTCTACTCCTGCTGCGAGAATTTTCATATCGCCATCTATATCGGAGGAAACAAACGACTGCGTTTCCAACTTATCAAAATAACCACTGACAAAAATGCAAGAACTTCAGAAAAGATTGAAGTACAACATAATGGATGTCTTGAAACTAGGATTTTTTTGCCAGACTAGAATCGTCACTTGAAACATCAGGATGAAATGAGGAAACTCAACAAGGAATATAGCAAATAATCACTTCACTGACCAGATAGAAGAGATTACACTCAGTCGACCACTCGGATACGGAAAACATACAAAAGACTTAAAAATACGGATGATATCGTCATACTCCAAGGGTCCACCGCTGTAATTATGGACAAGAAAGACTAAATCAAGAAAGTAGAGGGTTTACTCAAGGATAAGATGTGTATCAACCGCTTGTGATTCAGCTCGCCAGAACTGAGAAAGCTCGTCAAGGCAAGAGAAGTTATAAAGCAAGTCAAATGAATCTGTTCTTATTCAGTGTAATGGCAGACTAAAACTATACAAACCAAGCATTCCTCTACGAGCAATGGTCTCATTTCCAGGGACCCCAATCTACAGTCTATCCAGAGAGCTTTCGAGGAAACTGAAATATCTTATGGAGTCATGAGGATATTACGGTGGACCACTTACAGAATTCTTAGAATAGATCAAAGGCATTAACATAGAAGACATCGAATTAATGGTATCCTTCGGTGTCGCTGCATTATACTCACCAATTGAACTGTATATAGCTAAGGATATTATGTCTCTCCTCCTCACGGGCATCACAAAGCTGTCGGAAGGCATTAAAGTCTGATAGAACTCATTAATCTTTGCATGACAACATGCCTTCAGTTTGTCGATAAAATATACAAACAGATAAAGAGAACTCCAATGGAATCAATAATATCTCAACTAATTACAGAAATAGTTATGCAAAGATTAGAAGCCATCATTTAACCTGTGATCAAACCGAAAATTTGGATCTGTTATGTAGATGGTACTTTTGTCATCATTAGAAAAAATATGAATTGAAAAGCTTACAGTTTGATCAACAACATTTTCAATGGGATCTAATTCACAATGAAAGAGTGAGGCAATGGATTACTGTTACTGTATGTTATATCCAGTAGAACCAATATCAAGAAATTGTAAACTCAAGTATACACAAAGTCAACATATATCGATCAAATCCTCAATTACAATAGCAACAACTCAAAAAATAGTGATGTACAGACGTTATTCAGAAGAGTAAAACGACGCTGTTGTACAACAACTTCACAAAGAAATGAAGAAGAATGACCACTTACGAAGCTTCATCAAAAAAAAAACGCCTATCTTGTTTATCACCAACTACAGAGTTATCTACTAAAATCAGCAAGCAAGATCATCCTTCTATCCAAAAGGAAAACATGTCAGAGATCACGACAAGATTACTGTGACCACTTGGATACGTTTTAGCTCAAAAACTAACAAACTCTTCAAACTGTATTATGTAAACCAAAGGATGCAGTAGTCAAGGAAGACAAACCCAATATTATTTACAAAACCAAATGAATAAAATGCGATTAACACTACACTGAATAATGTATGGTCATCCTCTTCGTTGGCTATTAAACTTCATGCCATTTCGTCACTCATACCAATACACGTAGTCAACCATGGACATAAATTCAATTCTGAAAGTTAACAGATCTTGGACAGAGGGAACATAGAATATCAGAGAATTCTAAGAGGTTCGGCATTCAGGTCAGTCAGCAGTCAGTAGATGTATAGACAAAGACCTCAATCTGTTAACCAATAAGTAAAGCAAGGTCAGACGTTAGACAGAGAAACAGCTACAAAACAATCAGAGGGAGCTGCCAATCACAAACTAAATCACTCACAGAGAAATACTAGTAGCTGACTTGATATTGAAGTTAGTGCTGATGATGTCATCTAGAAACGTAACGAAAGCTTCACGATTCAACCAGACCACTCGAATGAGAAAGATATCCATTGGTGGTTCGTTTAGCTCATCAGCTGCCAAAGGATTTAAACGTCAGTCATGCAGTTGATTACAGTAGCACCGTGTGATTTACACATTTGCTTCGTACATCACTAGGTTGTCTGTAACCTTTTTCTGTGTTAACCTCTACCTTCATGAAGTAATAAGATATGTCAGAACTTAGTTGAATATGAAGTTGTTCGTGCTGTTTTGCTGTTACTGTTTGTCTTTCTATCTAATGCATGATGTAGTATGCATGTTATGTAGCTCAGTTATCTATTCTCTAATTCGGTTTGCCCTACACTTTATGGTATCCAGAACCGAGAGTAAATCTCATGTGATGTTTTCACTTTGATGTGAGTTTGAGTAGTAATGTGTAAATACCACTTTAAGCGATTGTTCATGTATATGTAATGTAAGACTAGTCGTATTTCATTAGTTTTCTAATCACTACTTCAGAGAATGATGTCGCTAACTTTAAACAAAGGCCTAGATCATGTCTGTATTCGAGCTGTCAACCCTCAGAATATGGAGATGGTGATATACTAACTCGGTTTCAATTTAATCACTGTAGTTTTTATCCGACTGTTCGGTATCATATCTGAGGTGGTCAAATAGTTTATTGACAGTTTGAATGCCACTGGTTCACATCCTTACTCTATTCAGGCTTTTATTTGAGTCGTAGCGGGAACAAGTCTAATCAGTGCTATACAAGTACATTCAACTGATGAGTCCACAATAGGACAAAACATGTGTCATGAATTCCCCTGCTAACTACTACCTATTATTTAAGGATTAATATACTTCTTGAATTGATTCGTTCTTTTACTCACTAGTGTATTAATTCGAATGAATTTAGTTTTCTTTTACAGCGTAGGTGTATCAGAAGGGGATGGTTTCTCGTTTTATTACTTCTATCATTATGTTAACTTCAACTAATAATCAATAATTATTCAATTTATAGGGGTTTTTTTTCTCTCCTTTGACCCTATCTCATTAAGTTGTTTATATGTTGTATATTTTCTTGTATTCATTCATATTTTTGGTTTATTTTCTTACAGTCAACATCATTCTCCTCTTCTGGTGATTCAGATATTACACAAAGTAATACAAACTCTGTCATTAAAATTGATGAAGATGATGATCTACCATTATCTACATTTTTACCACTAAAATCAATTCCTTTAACGAACAATAGTAATAATAATAATAATAATAGTAATAATAATGATCATAGTATGAATCATAAAGATGAAATTGTTCATCCATTATGTCAGTGTACAAAACCTGCTGTTTTAGATGATCCAAGATGGGATGGACAATTTTGTTCACCTGAATGTTTAATACGTGTTTGTCATGAAGCATTTAATGTTTGGCTAGAAAATCATCATTGTGTAAAAGAGGATACTGTGATTGAACATTGAGAAGCCTGATCAAAACAAGAACAAAGTCAACTCTACATCTCTAGTATTATTAGTTCAGTTGAATCTCAGTTTGTATATAGTATAAATAATGTTTTGTAATTGTTTTAATCAGTGCTGTGTTATAGTATATTTGAAAAAAAAACAAATAAATGCTGATCAGTTTGTCAAGTTTAAATATATATATGTACAAATGTCTGTTTATATTGATTGTTTGAAGATGAAAAAAAGAAAGAAATTTTTTGTTAATTTCTTTTCTTTATAAAAATCTCTTGAATTTCGTTATTCTTTTCACTCTATAGCATAACATACTTTTATATATTTCAAGAAAAAACAAAACTGAGGTACAAGGAAGCATATTTATTATGACATCTTGTACAATATTGATAAAGTATTGTACACATCCTATTGAAATAGTCATTTGTACAGTATACCTCATTTCCTCTTCTGCTTCTATCTTGATTTACTCTTAATGCATCCATATTGTTTCTTGCATTCTTCTGGGCAGAATATTTACCATTTTCTGGTAATTGCCTATGATTTCTGCCGCCTCCTCTACATATGCTACTTATATCCACTCTTGTCAGTAGCACCTACTGCACTATGATTGTGTGAAATTGAAAAAGAATTATATAATTCAAACATGCAAAGTAGATCCATATGCTGAACTATGAACCGAATGTATTGTCTGAAGGCTTGTAATACTACTAATCAGTTGGTGAAGTCAAAGTAAGGTAAAGGGATATTTGAACCGCTTATCCATTGCTTGAAAATCGGATACTTAATCCAATGATCCACCATCTGTTCTATGAAGAATTTCAGATAATTAGCACAAGTTAATACAATGAAGAGAAAAGTTTCTTTCTAGAAAGTCATTTTCATCAACAAAGTTCTAGAAGGAGGTGGTTATGTAGGCCTCACAATGCACAATCTTTCCAAATCCATCTAGGAGGACTATCCTGCTTGGATGTTCACAGGAGGAATGCAGGTCAAGAAACAACTCCGTCCTAAGCAATTTAATCTATCCTAGTAACATCACTTGCCTACAGTCTTCTTTCAAATCCTGTACAAACTCAAAGCAAATAACTCACCACTTGTGTGTATAATAGAGGAGCTGGCAACGTAACAATCAAAGCCTGGGCTCTGTGTGCACAGAAGAGTTATACACACATTCTTATTTCACCATGGTCTTTGATTTTCCTCATTGTTTCAATATTCATCTCACCCTTATTGACTGATTATTGTTATTATTTTCACTTAATGGGTTACTTTTCTACATCAATAATCGGTTAGTTCCGATTTCTCATTTTAGTTCTCGCAATATTTTTATCATCCTAATAATTACCGTCATCAGTGTTATTACTTTCTAGCATATTAGTTATCACCATAATCGACTGAATACTTTTCCCTGTATAATCTCTTCCTAAGTGTAGAAATGATCCACAATTTCTTCTTCAAGAAAATTCAGTTTTGATAGACTTGGTGTTGGCGTATGGTATTCCGGTTCATGCAAGTCAGCTACTCTGATTCATGTGGTCTGAAGTAATTCTGCTGTACTAGCTGAATTTATCCGGGTACACAGCTGATGAGCTCAGCTCCAAAAGAGTGAAACGCCAGTTTGGTGTTTAGATCAACCTGAGTGTTGACTAACCACTCAAATAGTTCACTAGCAGTATCTCTCAATAGTTCATGAAACTTTTGTATCGGAAATCAAACCTTGTGATCTCGACTGGGTGGTTTCCAGCAGGCAGTTTAAAAAACGAATCACCTGTGAGAAATGTCAACATGGAGCATGCATTTTGTCAAACATTTGAAAATTAATCATTCTATTTTATGAATACGATTGTATAGCTTAAGAAAATCCTGTTCACTGAGTTACTCTAACTTCATTTCATAGTCTCAGTGGGTTTCTTTTCCAGCTATTTTAGATAACTGCTATTGTAATAGCATTTAACATCCAAGTACGTTTCATATGAATGTTACTGATAGCTTCAAAGTGTGAACAATTGTAATACCGCTACGTGATTCTGACATTTATATGTCGCATCATTTCAATATAGTTTCACTTTATCTATGTATTTGGCATACTCATGAGTTGAACTCAAGAAAACCCTTTTACTAGAAATCTTAGACTCACAGTTGAATGTCCACCTGATCGATAGATGCTATCCTTGACGTGGTGGTCGACCTTGCAAACCACAGTGACCTAATGAGCTGTACTGGTGGAACGCTTGTTCCCTCTGGGTCCTAACATACCAGGAAGGTCTGTTGGATAGTAATTAAACAAAGCAGATACCCTTACCCTTAAAATATTCTTAAACAATAAAGTGAAGGCTCAGACAAGTCATCAATGGTTAGTGATGATCCACAACCACTGGACGTATATCCGACCTCACCTTTCATAATGCATGCCAAATTTTTCGGCATCAAAAAAGCCGTACGTGATCGGCTTCTAGCAGATATTCTCTGGGCTCTGCGACCACGCAGTAATCCTTCTTTTTCAGGTACCTGAAGAAGGTCTAGCCTTTCACGATGTAGGCAGCGGGGAAATGTTAACGTTTTTCACAATTCTGTTAGCTCTCAAGTTTTTTCACGTGTTCACAACACAAATATAAAACAAGGCCATTTAGGTTACAAAATGAGAGGCATTGTGTACAGTCAGTTCACAATTATTTCACAATAATTAAAGGGTCGATAGAAAGCTTGTGAAGATGGTTTAAATTAATAATGTAGAATGATATTTGAGTAATTTGTCTTTACAAATAAATGCCTAAGATATCTATTCTCAATCAAATTCCCAACCTTCTTTCTTCGGCCCGCATCAACAGTCTATCCAACCAATTGTTGATTGTTTAGAGGAGAGACTATGCTGTCCAAACGTGTAGACCAATAAGACTTTGTTATCTTGAGATCCATACACGCTACAAGTCACGTGGTTGATTTCCACAAGCTTTTATGCTTCATCAAAGACAAAACTGATAATCTTCGGTCTCTTAACTGCTTGTTATTCATGCATCTATCTCCTACTTAACAGATTCTTCCCAACTGAATAATTTCCTATCCAGTATATTTCCTGTTCTCTTTCATTCTTTCTCAAGTCGCTGAAAAATGACTTTGAAGATTGTCAGCAGAACAACTTGTGTACGTGTAAACCTTCTAGTTAAAACGGTTGTAGAGAAACATAACTCATGTAGTCATGTGACAGGAGTTATTTTATCAGATGACGAGCATCTTCACTCGAAGCTGTCTGCGTGTTGGTCATCTGAAAAGACGAGGACTACTTATGTAAGACTTTATGCACGTTCTACTATATATATATATATATATATATATATATATATATATATATATGCAGATTTCTTCCCATCTTCCTTTCAAAGAGTTCCAGTGTTCTTCCATGCCCTATTCTTCAGGGATGTTGCTCAATGTCTCCCATTTTGTTCTGATGGCTGACGTTAATATTTCCTTTGTAGTTCTGTCCTTCAGTTTCTGGGTGTTGAACTTCAACTGTGGTCTATCACCAACTTCTTTGAAGGCTTTCAACTTGAATATGAAGGCAGGTTCATTGCACTAGATAGTGGTGTGAACCTACATCTGCTCTTCTTGACCTTGTGTCAAGTAGACTGCGTCTCCATTTTCTTGAGATTGAGATAAAGTTGATCTAATTTTTAGTATGTCCTGGTGTCTGATGAAATCCATGTCGCTTTGTGAATATCCTTGTGCTTGAACACTGCCTCCAATCACCAAATCGTTGACTGCACAGAATTCTGCAAATAGTTATCCATTCTCATTCATTTCACAGAGCGCTTCTCGACCCATCGTGAGTTGTCTGCCCCGAGTTTGGAATTCATGTCACCCATTAGAATTTTGATGTCGCCAACTGGAGTCTTGTCTAGTACTCGTTGCAGCTGTCTATAGAATTCCTCCTTTTGTCTTGATCTGCACTATTTGTAGGTGGATAGCGTAGCATTGTGGGATTGTGACCTTCCTTCCTTTTGAGTTGAATCTTGCAGTTATGATGCTGGAGGAGATTGGTTCCCACTGCATGAGGGTCTTCGATGGTGTTGGGGACATCATGATATCCACTTCTTCCATGTGCTTGTGGTTGTCGTCTGGATGACCCAAGTAGATTATTGATTGTCCAGTTGACAGTTTGGAGAGTCCACTCCCATTCCATCGGCTTTCGCAAACTCCTAACACTTCAATGCGATGCCTTCTCATCTCATTTGCAATCTGGGCAGCCTTGGTACGTTCAAACATGGTGTGGACATTCCATGTCCCCACATTTACTTTCACTTTCATCGAGAGATGAGAAGACACATCGGCCAATTGGCTTCTCGTGGGCTTCACCAACCGGCGTCATTTCGTCTCTCCGATTCCAGCCAGGAATAATATTGTTATTATTTTTTATATTTTGTTTGTGCTTTGAAGTTTGTTCAGTGGTTGGATTGGTTTTACGGGTTAGGGTTGCTAGCCCTACGGCCAATCTTCCTTCTTTACCCGGGCTTAGGACCGGCTAGTAACTAGTGAACTAGTTAACCAGGTGAGGTTACACATTCACTTATCAAGTCAATTTATGTTGAACCAAAGGGTGGGAGGATAAAAATATTCATGTATCTGTTCATCAGAGACGATAGATGAACATATCAAGGTAGAGAAGACGGAGGTGATGAAGATACCCAACCAACAACAGCATCAACAACAAGTATGAATCACCATTAACGGGAGAAATCTAAAGGAAGTAGTCTCTTTCACCTACCTAGGCAGTGTCGTTTCAACTACAGGCAGCACAAGCACAGACGAAGATATCAATATCAGAGTAGATTATTAACTCCTCTCCAGTTGACAGTTTGAAGGGTCGACTTCCATCCCACCTGCTTTCGCAGATTCCAAACACTTCCATACTTCCTGATCTCTTGCAATCTGGGCAGCCTTAGTAGGTTCATATGTGGTGTGGACATTTCATGTCCCCATCCATACTTTTGCTTTCATCGAGAGAAGAGACATCAACTGACTGGTTTACCAAAGCTTTCAGCAACCGGTGTCATTTCGTCTCTCCGATTCCAGGGAGGAATAAGTTTATTTTCATTTTTGCATTTTCTTTGTGCTTTGAAGTTTCTTTAGCGGTTGGATTGGTTTTATGGAGTAGGGTTGCTAGCCGTATGCCAACCTTCCCTCTTTACCTGGGCTATGACGGACCAGTAGTAACTAGTGAACTAGTATATATATATATACCGTATTTAGCTCATCTTCTATGCTATGAAGAAAGCATTACAAATAAGCTAACTAATCAACTTTTTCTGAAATCAAACTAATTGATAAGTATACAGCGGGTTACTATTAATATATATTGAATCTGATTAGCAATGTGATCATCTACCTAGATTAACTATGCATTTTCAAAAATGTTATAGATATAGTAAATATTCTCTTTTTAAAAAAGTAATTTCTACTTATTCCATTTTGCTATGCGTTTATGTACACTATCTCTGTCTATTTGATACCAAATGACATACTGAGAATTCTGTAGAGTATTCTCGAAATGACTTTCAGAATATAGCCATTAATATTAGTATACCAAATATTCGTATCACAATTGGTCATAATTTTAAAATCTACTATATGTCAGTTCGTTTATGAAGTTCACCTTTAACAAACTTTTAATTGAACCAAATTATTATTTGTCCCTTGGGTTCCTAATGGGACATAGGGCTTCAGTAGCACGTCTCCATTCCACTCTGTTCTCTGTAGTCTTTTCAACCTGGTTCCACGACTGCCTAGATGCTCTCATTTCTTCTTCACATGATCTCCATGTCACTCTCGGACGCCCAACTCACCGTTTCCCATCTGAGTTCGACTCGAGTGCCTGGTGTGGCGCGTGATGTCCCCAGTCGGCCTTCTCAGTGTATGCCCAATCCAATCCATCTCCACTTCCTTCTGCATATTTGTTGAGCGACAGGTTCTTGGTTGGTTCGTTGACAGCCAGCCAGCCAGCCACAGTGAGTTCCTTGTTGCTTATTCTCATTATTCTGGCCATCTGATCTGAGCTTCAGTAACGAGCCAGCGTAGGCACCAGTTGTTGATGAATGTCTGTGGTTTGTTGGAAATGCCTTTCGTAATGCGCCAAGTCTCTGGACCATACAGGAGCAGTGACTTGAGTGGATTGGTGTTTAAAATCCGGATGTTGTTCCACATGCTGAGTGTAGTGCAGTAGATCTCCACACTAGTTTCGGGTTAATGAACGCCTGTCTTGCTGTCTTTCCAATCCTGGCTGGCTTTGACGTCCTCGTCTGTGCCGCCGCCGCCACCTGTAGTTGAAACGGTGCTGCCTAGATAGGTGAAGGAGGTTACTTCCTTTAAGATTCTCCCTTTGATGGTGATTGGAGCTTGTTGTTGTTGTTGGTGGTGTTGGTTGGGTGTCATCATCACCTCTGTCTT